GTACAGTGCACAGCCAACCGATGAAAAGGAACCAGAAAAGGATTGCAAAATGGATATTAGTGCAGTGCACAGCCAATTTGCATCCCTCCACAAGGTGGGTGAACTTGAGCAGGTAGCCAAATCACAATGGGGGGAACTTGTTGACCTACTTGCACAACAGTCGAACCAGCACCAGGCGGGGATACAAACACATCAGAATCGTCCGCTACAATGAAAACAACGAAACAAAGATAATGCAACAGACATAAAGAATAAAAAAGAAACCAAACACACGAACAATAAGGCAAGGCAACACAAAATAAATATGTATTCACATGCAAAAAAAATAACAAGTAACTAATACCCACCTGTACAGACCAAAAGACCAAACTGCACAAAAGGAAAAAAACGAAGTGCATAATACTAACTAAAACAGGCCCCTAATAATTCCCAACTGCACAAACCGGGATCGTTATACGCACATACTAACTAAAACAGGCCCCCATTAACTGGTATGCTTTATAACACAGGAATAAGTAAACAGCTTTCATAGGTAGCAAATAAAAATAAACACAGAACATGAACATGAACCGGTATGCTTTATAACACATTAATAAAATAAACAGCTTTCATAGGTAGTCCATGGACAATAATATATTTACAAATAACAATAATAAAAATAATAATAATAATAATACTAATAATAATAATAATATAAACCACAATCGCACAAGCCATAACAACGAAAAGCACACCATAAATATATAAAATAACAACACACCAACATTTACAATTAAAATTCACCAACCAAAATAGCTTTACGTACGAAAAAAAAAAAAAAAAAAAAAAAAAAACAACAATCTATAAAAACCTTCATAACACAACGCAAACTTGTTTTCTTAAATTTTCAAATTTGAAGGGATCAAAATGCGACACGTGTATAATTATGAATTAAAGAGAAAGCTAAATTTGAACAGGCTTCCCCTTGCGTCAGTGCATAATTAATTTGAAAACATTACAGCATAGCATCATTTTTTTTACAATAAAAAAACACAAACATAACTAAATGGCTATTTTACACTTCCAAAGTTCAAAAATTAAAAAGCAGTGAACACATATAATAGCATGTACAACGGACTGCACACGCCGAAACCCTACAAGGCATACACTCACCCCCCCCCCCCACCAAAGACGTATAAAACAACGAAATAAGCCAAACGCACAGACCATACATACAAACTGCACACAGCACTCTTATACCGCACACACCACCCGTCTCACGGCAAGCCCACCTCACCCTAACCACCGTCTAAACTAAAGCCTTTTTAAAAACAAAAAAAAAAAATTAAAAAAAAAAACAAAACATGTATACACAACTAGTGAAAAACAAAAAATGATACACTGGGAAATAAAACCAACATTGCACCAAGAAAACAAATACGCACAAACCCAACGCCTACCAGCCATATGCTCCTATTCCAAAATGAAAACGATATGCACACGCCGACACGATATAATGCACATACCCCGGACAGACTACTGACAGGAAAGAAAAATAAAAAATAAAAATAAAATAAAAAAAGGCCAACACCCCCCCCCCCCCCCCCCCGCACAGAACCTCCACGCCGGTTGCAAACAAAAACCAAAAAAAAAAAAAAACCCAACCCAAACCCATCCCCGGAAACGCGACCCACATAAAAAGCAACACAACAACACAGAAGCAATACCTGGAACGCCGTCGGAAGACACCGCCCTCAGCCGCTTGGAACGCCAGTCGGAAGATCCCGCCATGCCGAACGCAAAATCAGAGGAGAAAATCGGAGCCCCGTGTAACGCTAGGTGATGGAGAAAGAAACACAGTAGATGACTGGTTAGGGAGAAGAAAACGAAAAGAAGAAGAAGATACGGTTGGAATGGAAAGCCCATAAAATCTGCTAATAAATTAATACAACCTAATAAAGAAACAACTAAAAAGACAACAAAGTCCCTCCACACACACATAAAGACGTACGTGCCCATAATGCAGCATCCATCTCATCCGTCCAACAACCCAAATAGACGTACAAGATCGAGCCTCACCACCTTGCCTGCCATAGGTAACCTCACCAGATCCAAAATCTATATGTTCGAATGAAAGCATATTCATCCTTCTTAAAAATAATTTGAGATAAGTAGGTCGACATTAATCATTTAACCACATTCTTATAGAGAAGCATGAGAAGTTGAAGGCATGTAATGTTATTTTTTCCAAATAATTTTAATTGTAACTTAATTTTGTTAGCTTCATGCCGCCTTCATCTAATTGATTCATGGAGGCCATGGGTTAGTTTATAACTTACCTTATGTATATTACTCCGTATATTTGAGAGAAAAAAAATTGGAAAAAGTAACATTTTTTATATACGTATCATGCCCCAAACATCAAATCACATGAAAATGGGCATGTAATAATAATGATGTTGTATTCATTTTCACTTCTTTATGTGGTAAGATAAATACGCATACAATAACCTTTTAAAAATTGTTGCATTACCCTTTTGTTTTTTAATGCAACTGACTCTATTACATGGTAGTATCTGTTGAGTCAACAACGCCTTAACTGAGGCTTGATCAAATGACCTCTCATATGGGAGATGTCATTATATGCCATCTGAGCACAAGGCGTTTGGCGTTGCAATAACTTTTATTTCATCACATCAATATGATAGAGTGAAGTATCATTTTTCATACAACAAATACATATATATTAGTTCCTTTTCGAACTTCAATTTTCATCAAACCATAATTAATGAATCGGATTAGAGCTTGATAAACACCTATTTACTCCGCTGGACTAGAGTTTATTGTCTACTTTATTACTCTTTGATTCCAACTTAAATAAACTAGGAAGGGTGGATAAAAAGTTGGTGATTTGGGGCAAATCATTTAAAGGTAGAATGATTGGTTTTTCACAAGTACAAGGTTGAAGCAGCCATGGGTTTGTTGAATATGATCCCTATCTGATCTGCTGCTACACATCCTTTGTCTCAGCTCACTCATCATCATCAAGCTTTTGAATTGGTTTGGTAAAGGTTGGAATGATTAATCCCCCATTTTTGGAGTAATCAACTCGAGAACTCGAGAGAAACGGTGACCTAATCAAGTATACATAATTGAAGTAAACAGTGTTGACGCATGATAGGTTAATGTAATCTAGTTCAATAATGTTAATTAGAAAATTAGGCAGTGGCATTGCATAATTGTGTACTTTATTGCTTTTCTATGAGGCAATTAGCTTACTTTGCCCAAAAGTCTCCTGTCAAGTTCCTTTCATGACTGCTTCTAATCACCAAAACTTAACAAAAAGTAAAATGATTGTTTATTGATATAAAGAATTTTATTTATGCTTATTGTACCATATATATATATATATATATATATATATATATATATATATATATATATATATATATTTATTTATTATTATTATACTCTCAAATCAAATGACTGATATTTGAGAGTATATATATATTTATTATTATTATACTCTCAAATCATTTGATTTGAGAGTATAATAATAATAAATAATATATATATATATATATATATATATATATATATATATATATATATATATATATAACATTTTAGTAATATCAGTCATTTGATTTGAGAGTATAATAATAATAATAATAATCTACTCATAATGGTACTAACAGAAATTACAAAACGATCAATCTAGCCAGCACATTGCCCTATAATAATCTACTCATAATGGTACTAACAAAACTTACAAAATGACCAATCTAACCAGCACTTTGCCCCTTAATTGGGTCGGGCAGGTGCGAACATAGATTAGTCTGAGTATGGTACGGGCTTAAAGGTGCCTCATACAGTTAGGGTCTGCTCCAAATGTTATGTTGTGGAACCGTGTCCACCTTGCAAGGTGGACACGGTTCTATGTTCATAATTACTGAACTATATGTTCATAATTATAAAGCTATATTTCATAATTTTTTAACTTCATATTCATAATTATTGAATTCTATATTCACAATTATAGAACTCTATGTTCATAATTATAAAGTTATATATTCATAATTTTTGAACTTCATATTCACAATTATAGAATCTCTATATTCATAATTACATAACTATATGTTCATAATTATGTTCACAACTCTATGTTCATAATTATAGAACTATATGTTCATAATTTTTGAACTATATATTCATAATTATGAACAATTTTGGAACTGTGTCCACCTTCCAAGGTGGACACTATTCCACAGCATAATTTGCCGATCTGCTCGGGATACCTTGTGGTCTGACAAAAAAAGAAAAAAAAACTTGCAAAACTTAACACTTAACAATATAAAATTTTACATCGTTGTTTTACATAAGGAAGGTCTCAGGTTCGAGTCTCATACCAATCAGAACTGAGATAATTATTGAACATATACTATGAATAATTGAATATGTTAGAGTGTATTAAAAAATTAATATAAAATTTTAACATGAACTTTGATCAATTAATTAGCCAGGCAGTCAGAAATATGGGGAGATTAAAATAATAGCTTATTTTGAAACATATCTCAGGTAGCGTTTCAAAATAAGATCCTGAATTTTTTAACTTTTTATCTTTTTTTTTTTTTATTCATTTACAAAAATGACACCATCTATCATTTATTAATCAAAATCCTAATATCTTAGTTTATCCTTTTGTCTTTTTACACTTATCAAATTCAATAATTAATTTACTAAATACTTTAATTACAATTAGTTATCTTATTAACTATTAACTTTTCAGATAGTTTTTCAACTACGCGTGTTAAACTAAGCCATAGCATTTAAAATTGAACATCAATCAAACATTAAAATTAAAAAAAAATTAAAAAAAAAATCAAATATTACAAATAAATAAGGAATCTTTAAAATCATTTCTACTTTGTATATTTTAATAAAAAAGTATTCCATATCTGTGTAGTAATAGAGGTGTTATCATAAAATGATCTGAGCGATGAATCAAGAAATCTCCAAGAATGGAAACCGTCACTGAGTCGCTCTCGGAGCGTTCTTCACCAACGGCGACCAATCGGTCGCCAGAACTTCATGCCCCGGAAGAACGCAACCCTAAGAAGACCAAGAGAGGAAGGGATGCCCTCGAAACGCTGGCGCCATCACAAATGGTGGAAGGTAATAAAGATCTGTTAATGGAAGCTGAATTGATGTCCCCGGAATTTGCACAGTGGGGTACGCCAACTGATACCCCCATCCAAGATTGGGCTAAAGAAGCTGTAAAAGACTCTTTCGAGAGAGATAATATCGCAGAAGAGTCCGAAATGGAGGAAGATTTGGCTGACTTCAACAATCCGGTCATTCCAATTTCAGAAGAGGAAAAGGAAAGAATTAGACGTCCATGGAGTCGGTCCTTGATCGTGAAAGTACTGGGCAGAAGAATAGGATACGTCTATCTGCTCCAACGGCTTCAGAATATTTGGAGACCAGAAGCCTCGTTCGAGCTCATTACGCTAAGTCAAGATTACTATATAGCTCATTTTGAATCTCTACGGGATTATGAATTCGCAAAATTCGAAGGACCATGGTGTATTATGGATCACTATGTAATAGTCAAAGAATGGGAACCTAACTTTGATCCCTATTGCGACACCACTGAAAAACTCTTGGTTTGGGTAAGGTTTCCAGCCTTACCAATAGAGTACTTTGAGGAGCAATTCCTAATCAAGATTGCCAAGAGGGTAGGACGACCCATCATAACTGACACAACGACTAGCCTCATCTCTAAGGGAAACTTCGCAAGAGTATGCTTGGAAGTTGACATTTCAAAGCCCTTACGGTCCAAAATCACGCTGGAAGAGAAGGCATGGCCGATCGAATACGAAGGCCTTCACCTAGTTTGTTTCAAACGCGGTCGCTACGGTCATAGACTGAACCAATGTGGGATGAAAAATTCGGGTGGTAGCCAGGACCAAGCAGGGAACACAAATCCACAAAATGAGGCTAATAGCAGTAATCCATCCAAGAAGGATACCCATCTTCAGCAGCAGACAAGTTCCAGGCCAGATCTATCGACGGACTTTGGCTCTTGGATGTTGGTCACGAGAAGGGATAGGAGAGGACCAAGAAGAGGTGGTTCTCATCCAACTACAGTTAGACATCAGACACCCAACAACTTGATAGATGAAGGCTTGGGAGATCAGTCTCGCTTTGCCTCCCTGGCCAATCTTGAAAAAGAGGACAATGGACCAATTGAAGAAGAGCAAAGGCCTAGTCTAAATTTACAAGATATGAATGAAATCCTCCCTAGAATTAGAACTAATAGAAGGGCTGGGAAGAGCCCAGTACAACAGCAGTAAGACCAATCTGTCCATAGGAGTACCCCAAGACAACCTCCACCAGGGAATCGGGGAGCCTTAGGGGCAGATGTGGTAGAGGAGCTTTTCCCAGAAGAGCTGCAGCCGAAACAGTACATACTGTGGTCCGAGGATCTAACCAAGGACGCAACATTACTAGTACGGTGGTGTACCACATGAACAATCAGAAGGAATTTCCCCCACTACCGATAGAAGAGTCCCACACAGGAATGATCCCCCTGATATAGCGTCCTCATCTGGAACATTGAGTGCTTCGCAGGATGTTGCTATGAAGATGTTGGCCAAATTGGCCCAGTGGTAACTGACCAATTGCCGCTTTAGGCTTTCTCTTTTTTCTTACGTTTGTTATGTTTTGTCTAACTTGGAATTGTCAGGATGCGGCCTCAAGAAACTTTCTTCGCACTCTTAAACATTTTGTCAGGGTCCATAACCCTTCTATTGTTTGTCTCTTTGAACCAAAAGTGTCAAGTATCCATGCCAACAAAATCTGCACGATTTTAGGATTTGACGAGTGGATCAGGGTCGAGGCTGTGGGATTCTCAGGAGGAATATGGGTACTTTGAAAGAACACCATGATGATTGAAATTGTCGATACTCACCCACAATTTATCTCTCTGCAGGTTACTAGCTCGAACTCAGCTTCCTGGATGATGTCGGTAGTGTACGGCAGCCCAAATATATCCCTTCGAAAGAGAGTCTTTGCTGATTTATCCTCCAGTCACTTTGAGACACAAGGGCCTTGGTTAGTAGCAGGTGATTTTAACTCGGTCTCAAGTTCAGAAGAAGTTAGCAACCCAGATATCTTCTCCATGACTAGATGTGCAGATTTCAATGACTGGATTTTTCGAGAAGGGCTAATAGATTTAGGATTCGTTGGTTCCAAGTTTACTTGGACACGAGGAGTGGATGCACCAACATTCAAAGGAACTAGATTGGATAGGGCTCTTGGCAATGCCGATTGGAAATGTAGGTACCCTAACACTTTGATTGAACATCTTCCGATGGTTGGGTCCGACCATTCACCCCTTCTGATTGTGTCCAAACCAGTATCAAGACCTCCCAGAATTAAGAGTTCCAAGTTCAATCTTGCTTGGACCACTCATCCTAATTACCAGGATTTCGTGAAACGCTCATGGGATATAAATAAGGATGTGGAATTGAACAAGTCCTCCTTGGCCTCTTCTTTGACACACTGGAACCTCACCACCTTTGGAAATGTATTCAGCAAGAAGAAGAGATTACTAGCTAGAATCAGTGGAATACAACGTAGATTGACAGATAATGCAAGGTCCGATCTAATTAAACTGGATAGGAAGCTACGCAAGGAACTTGAAGAGGTCTGTAACACCCCCTAAAAACAAGCTATTTAAAAGCCTTAAACATGTAGATAACTGAACTAAACAACAAACATAGCGGAAGACTGAAAGGTAACTAGATAAACACAAATCCAAAACACGGGGTGTTATGCCACGTTCACCAAAAAGGATGAACGCTACGGCAACATCTGCAATGTTTACATCTAATCCAAAGTCTCAAAGGTCTACAACTAAACTAGCACGCAGGCCACAAAACAAGAGGGAGAAGCTACACTAGCAAGCACTAGACCGCGCACTCGTTTAGACATCACCTGAAAGAACACAACAAAACATGGGACGACGTCCGGTCAGCGAATAATGCTGGTAACCCACCAATACATGTGAAATATCATACATAGATAAGGTATAAGTTGTAAAGCCATTTTCAAAACGGAATACATATATATAAGTACAAAACCAAGAGCAATAGTCAACACAAGACTCAACACTCTCAACAAGGATACGGGAACACATCCCAAAACCACAAAGGATAACCACAACACAAAAGATAAAGACAAGACCGATGGCAACACATGCCTAGGAAACACATGTCCTTGTGACTACATACGTCACAAGAAGAGAACTCACAACAACGGCTACACAAGCCCTCGTGACATCACCCATCATGAGTTGATATGCCTTCCTTATGCCCCGTTTCAACCTTATGGCTACCCCCAACCTTGTATCTTCTTCCAACCATTACCTCCAGGACCCCTGTACTTCTTAGTCCAACATTTTCCCTCCTAGGACCGTCGTCCCCCACCAACAAACCACCAACAAGACCACCAATTTCATAGTACACGAGGGTACCATACACACACACGGCAACACATGCCACCCAAGAATCACGTGAACCTTACACAAAGGTCACAACTCCATAATCACGTCACGGCCACCACGAGGACCGCTACAATACCTTGGTGACTAGTGTCCCATACCACTAATCGTGCAATCCAGTTAAAGCCACGCACACATCACACCTCAACAGGAGTCAATCAACGGATCACAACGAAGATATGAAACCATACTCAATCAAGGAATGGGTCACAGCCCAACAACAACAACGATGAATAACACAAGTTATCATCATCCAATAAGAATGTACAAACAACACACACGCTAGCATTTAAACACCGAACTAGCATGCTTATCAAACGGGTAAACCAAACGTAGTTCCGAAGAACACACAAGACTCACCACGGTTCAACGAAACACAATGTTGAACACTTAGCACGATTCACGACACCAAAGCCTACAGGGATACCTACCATATAGTTCTAGACATATGAAACATCAAGAAGACACTCAAATAGTTCCACAAAAGAACATCGGAAAGTCAAAGACCAAATACCGAGTCAAAAGAATCACGGGGGACAAATCCCCCAACAACCACAATAGTGTACCCGCGGGTAGGCCCCTACCCGTGGTCCTGCCCGCGGGTACAGGCTCTTTCACCCAGTGTACCCCGCGGGTGGGCGGCGGGTGGGCCTCCTACCCGCTGTTCCGCCCGCGGGTACAATCTTGTACCACAATACAACACTTCGCGGATTTTCATCTCCAAACTCAAATTCAAGTCCAAAACATGCCAAATCTCACCAAATACAACAAAATGACTTGAATCTAAGGAAATGCCAAGCAATGGCACAAAAGAACCCTAAACACAAGCTCTAGATTTGCATTTTCACAAGATCATGCATCAACACTCACATTTCATAGCAAAACACATGTAGAATCCAAGAAATCACATATAAGTAAGCAAAATAGGTTTTGTAGAGCATGGGTTACCTCTTGTAGACTAAAGACTTCACTTTACACCTCAACAAGCTCCTCACAAGGCTCACCTTCCAAACCCACTTCAAGAACATACCAAAAGATCATAAAGATCCTATCTTTAAGAAAAGACACCTTAGATAAAACCAAAAACACAAGATGAACTTAGATCTTACCCTCCTAGATGCCCAAATATAAGAAAGGTTGAATCTTGGAAGCAACTCTTGAAGTTTTGGCAAGGTTCCAACTTGGCTTGGAAGAAAAGCTACTCACCTTTTTAGAGAGAAGGTGGAGCTAGATTTTTAGAAAAGTGTAAGGAGAGAATGAAGGTGGTCTATTAGGTTAGGTTACAATACCAACAACAAGTGAAAGGTCAAGAATACCCTTAATAACATTAGGAAGTGTAAGGAACAAGGGAACTCATTACAAAGCTCAATGTACAACTTTGACTTTGGGGTTGACTAGTCAATTACTAGTCCCCAACTATTAAATTTCAGGAATCTAAGGAATTAAATTACAAATTGAAATAGGATTAATTACTCAATTAATCTCTTAATTGAATTTGGATTTCGGGGTGTCACAAGGTCCTCTACCAAGAGGAATTAATTTGGTTCCAAGGGTCAAGGGAAGACTGGATTGTATCCGGGGATCGAAATACACGATTTTACCACGCAGCTACAGCTGTTAAGGATAACGCTACTCATGTCAAATCTCTAAGAGATGATGCTGGACAAGTTTTCAGCACAGATGAGCAGATTAGGGAACATATTTACCATTTCTTCAGATTATTGTTTACAGAACATGATATTGTCTCTCCCCACGAGTCGCTGCGTGACCACTTTCTTAGCTTGAGTGATGCTGACTGGAGGGTCATCAATGCCCCGCTTTCAAAAGAGGATATTAAAGCTGCAATGTTTGATATGAATCCTACAAAGGCCCCGGGACCTGATGGTTTCACAGCAGCCTTTTATCAACAGTCTTGGAACATAGTTGGCGAGTGTTTAACGAAATTTGTTTTAAAGTTTTTTGCAGATGGTGTACTACCAGTTTCGTGTAATGATACATACCTTACCATCATTCCAAAAGTGCCAAACCCAGAGAGTGCGAAGCAACTAAGACCCATTGGGTTGTGCAATGTCTCTTACAAACTCATAACCAAGACACTGACGACTAGATTGAAGGAAGCCTCAAAAAGACTTATTGGTCCTCACCAAACAAGCTTCGTGCCTGAACGACAGATAACAAATAATATCATCGTATACCAAGATATCCTGCACTCTATGAGGAACAAGAAAGGCCCTGTTGGATGGATGATTCTCAAAGTTGATTTGGAGAAAGCATGCGACAAATTGGCCTGGAGCTTTATCAATGACACATTACAAGATATTGGACTGAATGATCAATGGAGAAGAAACATCATGGCATGTGTAACTACCTCCAGGCTCGCTATCAACTGGGATGGAGGTGTCTCTAATTGGTTTCGACCTGTGAAAGGAATTCGACATGGAAACCCCATATCACGCCTCATCTTTGTTTTATGTTTAGAGAGACTCAGTCATTTGATTAACTTTTCTGTTAATGCAGGAACCTGGAAAGGAATTAATGTAACTAGAGATGGCCCCCACATCACCCACCTCTTCTTTGTGGATGATATGGTATTATTCGGGGAAGCTACGATCGATCAAGCAAAGGTAATGAAGAAATGCCTAGACGATTTCTGTAGATGGTCAGGACAGAAAGTCAATCTGCACAATTCTTCAGCCTTCTTTTCTAAGAACACATCCACCACGCTCCAACAGACTATTACTGACACGATTGGCTTTCAAAGAGTGGAGGATCTGGGTAGATACTTGGGGA